TAAGGTTCGTAAAACAACAAATGTTTATTTATATGCGGCGAAACTTCATTATATTATACTATTTGATATGGAGATGAATTTTTACTTAATAAGCAAATGTGGTTAGGATAATAAATTTTTTATTTTTTTCATGTTTCTTTATTCAATTATTTCCGATGATCTGCAAGTGTCCTTATTAGTATGAAAATCATTCCTTTTATGAAACGTGATTTTTGACAATTTTTTAATTCAAATTCTTTTTTATTTTGTTAAAATGCCTAAACAGAATAGAAGAAATCAGCATTTACAAAAAGCTTGTGAAACCAAAAAAATGAAAGAACTATTAAACCCATTACAGATGAATATATTGATAAGGAGATGTTTGAAAATGAATCTCAGATTGGCACAAGCATTTTGAATGAATTATATGTAATGAACCTGGATTAGAAATCGAAGAGTCAATCTATGAATACATTGAATCTGGTGATGACTGGAGAGATTTATCTTTAACTACAGAATTAGAATCTTGGGTAGGTTTAGAACAAACTGTGCCATTGGCTCTTAATTCTATTTCTCTCTGTAAAATTCGTAAATTGCAAGAAGATGATGTTATAGGTTTATGAGTGCCTATAGGATGGGGCTTTCTGGAAAGCTGCTATTTTTGCAGTTAAAAAGTATCACTCTCATAGAAGAGCTCCTGAATCTGTTTTAGTGGAATTTCATGAAAATATTCTTTAAATAGAGTAATGATCAGTGGTGAAATTTTTTTTAATAGTAAAAATGACAAACTTTAAACCATTATAACTCTTTTCATTTTAATAAAATTTAAAAAAACTATCGCATCTTTCCTTATGTCATATAGAATAAAACTATAGAGTTTTTTTTTTTATCTTGCATGGTCATTGAGCTTATACATTTTAAAGTTTACCCAAAATTTTTGATGTCTTTAGATGATAAGCACCATACCATAAAAAAATTTGCATATATGGATTTACATTATGACATTAATTAGATTTGTTAATCAACTTATATTGAATACCCCATTTGGTGTCGGTAATATAGTCTGCAGGAAATTCCTAATTAGGTAGCAGGGTTTGCACACGCAGACACAAATTATGATAAGGATTTAAGTAAGTTAAAATCGTGGAACTTTAATTAATTCCAAGGACAATTCAGATAAATATTTAAACGGACACACACATAACATTGGTAAGTTACAGTGAAGCAAAAAAAAAATGTTAATCTTTTAATATGAGTAAAAAAAAGGAAGAAAAAACTTGGATGATTTTCCTAATTCACTATTTAAAATAAAAAAATTGGAAAACCATAATCTTTAAACCTCTCCAAACAATGTAATTTATTCTTTTTATTGATCTCATTTTATATTTTATTGCATAATTAATATCTTATTGAAAAATAGTAACTATTAAAAAAAGTTAAAAAACAGAGAGATTCACTGCATCAAAATTTTTATCTGGGGTGAATCTGGCGATTTTCTCTTGTAATTCAATCTTTTTGATGGTGTGAAATATTTAGGTCTAGATCTATAATCTTCTGCTAGTGATGTAACATGTTCCTGAAAATACAATGAGCAATACTTTAGGATAGTAAAAAATATATATCATAAAATCTAAAAACAAAAAAACTTATAAACATTCTCCATACCTGTAATGCTATTAGGTGTGTTAAAGTAGGAGACAATGACATAACTGATGGTTTATCAATTGGTAAAATGGATTTCATAAAAGGGAACACTCTGTATACACCATCCACATCCAAATCCATTATGAAAGATTCAATGTATACACCTAGATTATTAAATAACTGTCAATTCAGTGAAAATTTTATAAATAATCTTATGATATAGACATTCACCTACCCATATTTAATAAAAACAATGATGTGCAAGGCCCATCCCTTCGATCAATTAACCCATCAATTGTTTTTTTTGCACATAAACAAGCTTTTATGAAATCCTTTGTTTTCTGAAATTGGGTATATCTTAATGGTTTTACTTCTGTGTTTAAGATCGGAAAATCATCAATATGGCATGAAAAATCTGGACGTTTTGTTGAATTACCAAGTGTTTTATTGAGTTTGATGCTGTAACTTTTATGTATAGTATCAAAAATAGGTTTCAGAATAGGATTAAAAAACTCGAATCTATGCTCATCTTCAGAATTTTTGAAGGGGCCAATCAAAGGCAAATCACTGTACAATTTAAAAAGATTATATATAAGTAAGTTATATTTAAAATAAAACTAAAGTGATGACAAGCGGCAACAACCACCATTCTTACAATAAACACTTATCCAGAAACTTCTACCTGTTCATTTTCTTGTTTTCAAGAAAAAATTAAATTTTGTTGCTTGATCGACAAACACGTACACATTAATTCGCAAATAGTCAGAAACAGAAAGAAAATACATATTGCAGATCGGGGCAAAATTTCCTTACTTATACGTAAAAATTTTTCATCACATAACTTTACGTCCCATATACATAGGTAAACTCGATAAGTCGGACACTTGATAAGTCGGATTTGGCCTAACTCGGACAAAAATTTCCAGCCCTT